AATCGAGCCGCGGTCACTGCTCAGTGATTCGGTCACCGTCACGAGGCGATTCCACGGCTGACACCACATCTTGCCCGTTTACCGAGCGACGTAATGACGTGACACGGTGATTTCGCGCGAACACAGCCGTCCCGGGAAATAGCTGAACCGAGACGCCGGGCTTTCGGAAGAATTACAATCCGGCGTGTCGCTCGATTCCAATTTCACGTCCGCCCGTCGGCGTCACTCTCGGTGAGTTAACAGTGACTATCTACTATCGGCCGGTGCCAGCTTGTTTTTCCAACAACGGCGCGTCCGATATCGCGGCGCGCCGACGGCTACTATCGCGTTCGACTTTCACCCGCGTTATCAGCCGCGCGTTATCCGGCCAGACGCGTCGGCCCTTACCACGCGCGCACCAGTGACCGCCACATCTCACACCGTTATCACTCACTCGACTCGGCCGAAATTACACTGCCGTGCGATCCATATTGACAGATGCGGGACACCCCGTCCGTTCGTCGGCTGGTCTCGCGCCACTAAGCCTCGTCGTCTACGTGGCCGGTCTCGCTCTTGCTACATCGGCGACCCGTAAGATCGCTCGCGATGCATTAGGCTCTCGTCGTTATTAATGCAATCTACACGACGGGTAGGACGTGCCATCGATCATTCTCCAGCGGCTATATTCTTCGCCTGCGCGACCCCGCCGCATATTTCCGGGCCCACGCAATTTTTCTCTCGCGAGACTCGCTAGAGCGACTCAGATTGTGCGAACGTGCGCGCTTTACTGCTCACAAATGAGGAAGATCCGACGGTATCTCGCTCGCCTGTCCTTTGTAACACCTGCAGCTCCTTTGTAGCCGTCGCTCCGCTCGCGAGACTCTCTATACGAGACGCTCCCGCTTTCCTTGAATCGCGTCTCGTCCAGAGAGAAAGAAAAAGGAAATTCTCCACGGATTTTCCCCAGCTTTTCAATAATGCATCAATGTCGCTGTTGCGCTCCGGCTAAACAAGCTTCCTGCGTGCTGCGGCAGTATAGTGGGACCCGTGAGAGGTGATACGTAGTACGAACGGCTTTTAACTTTAACATCCTCCATCAGCGGACGCTGATGCACGACTCTCCGATTGATCCACACTGGTTTCTCCTATTGCACCTTGCCCTTTGGCTGTCTGCTTCCCTCGCGACGTGCTTTTTCAGGTTCAGCGTCGCTGACAATTAAATATAGTGTTGGCAGGAAGAGAGAATGAGAGAAATACAAACAGAGGGAGAAAGACCACGGCAGTTGAGTGGAGTGGCGGTCCTTAAACGCTCGAAAACTCGTGCCGCAATCACGATGGAGCCCAAGCCGCTTCGCGCAGAATTTCTGCTCGGCGAAGCAAAGCACCGCGGGACGGAATCTGCTGGGAAGGAGCTATCCCTCGCGCTCTACACACTCGCGATCGATGTAAACGATGTGATCTAGCTTGCTTTTCCACCAACTCTTTCGTCAACTTTTTTTCTAGATCTCCTCGCGGCACACGTCTTTCTGGAATACTTCAAGTGGGCAGTGTAGTTTCTATTATTATTGCTGAATAGCTGTTCTCGGATATGCTCTCTCGCGGTAAGGAATGTCCGCGCGATTATCTGGATCCTTCAGGGGCCCGGAGACCGGAGGGCACCCGACACGTCCGAGAGCGACGCGATTTGCGTTCTCCACTGCAAGACCTCCCAGCAACCGCGATCGAACGCCCCTTGCTGGACGTTCGAGATCCCGCCGAGAGATCCTCCGACTCGATCATCCGCTCGACGTCGTCGTTCTTCGCAGAACACTGCTACACCATCTACTACTATCACTGTACTATCACACTGCCGCAGGGTCGTGAATCCTACCAGAATGCCAAGGGGGATCGCGTCACGCACTCCGTGTGTCCCTCTTTCTGAGCACGCACGGCGAATCGCCAGTGGAGAACGTCTGCGAGAACGGGTGAGGCAGAGGCCAGGAGTTGCAGCACGGGTACGAGCAACTACGGATCCGTCAACTGCGGGGACTAGCGCGGAGCCAGGGTTGCGGTACCATGTCGTCTCGCGTCGCGAAAGGGGTCCGTGCGGAAAGGTCCTCAGGAGAACGCGAGCGGGCCCCTCTCGCGCGAACTTCGCCCCCTGACACCGCTTCGCAAGAACGCGCGCGCGACGCGACGGGGAGAAGGTCGCGGCTCTTTCGAAACGGCGATGCTCCCGCGTCGAGGATAGCCGAGGGACTACATTGCGCGAGCGCCACTCGGGCGTCGAGCACGCAGCCGCCCCGTTCAGCCCGTGGAACTGCGCCTGTGTGCGCCCGTGCTCGTCCATGTGGTCGCTAGAGTGTGTAGGTGTGTGTATGTGGATGTATGTGTGCACGTGCGCGCGAGTTCCTCCCATAGCTCGGTTGTATATCAGACCGTTTTCCCACCCCCGCGTGAGCCGCCACCCTTTTACCCCGTCGCCTATCTCGCGCGCATCCCCTTTTCCTTCTTCTTCTACTACTACTACTTCTTCTGCTTCTACGCCTTGTTCCTCTTCTCCTTGTTCCGTCGTCGACCTCTCTTCCTCGCCTCTACCTCACCTCTCTCCTCTTACTCTTCCATTCTCCTTTTTTCCTCTTCTTCTCGCTGGCGCCGGAGAAAATCGCAGCCCTGGCCCGATAAGGACGCGAAAAAGCGCGAATCCGGTTATAACTTATGGCCGAGATAATTAAAAGGAGTTACAGAAGGATAATGGAGTGCCGCCCCTGTCATCTTCTTGCGCGACCTCCGTGCACCGGCGAGCTGATCGTCGTCTATCCGTGCTGACTGCTGGTCGCCGAGGTTCAGCCGTTTCTCGCGCGCAGGAGTAGGAGTTTCACCGTCGCCACTTCACCGAGCTTCCTCGGCCTGCGCGAAGACATTCCGTCATCGCGGCCCTTCGACAAGAAAGTCGCTGACTCGCGCGGATAACGGCGGACAAGCGAGAAAGCACGCGAGATTCAGCATCGACGGGAGAGCAAAATCTTTCTCGGCACGAGTGTCTCTCTCCGTGTGCTCAAGAACATTTTGTCGGGCTATTGTTCCCATTTCTCTCCTTTCCGTTTTTAATGGTTCATTCGTTCGATCTTTCCGAGCTCCGCGTATTCCCTGGCCGCTTTCTCAATTGCCCAGACTTTCCTCGACTTTTCGCGACCGCGAACGAAAATAGACACCGCGCTGCCTCCCAGCATGGCGAAACTCGGTGAACAAGCGCGTTGAAGGCGGAACGGAATTATCGTCGTGTTAAGAGCTCGAGGCGCGACCCACGTCCACCTGTGTGTTCGGCGTGCCGATTGCAGTCACCGACTACACCGACCACTTCGAAAAGCCACCGTGGAAAGATCAATAGGCATATCCCGCGCGTCTTTAACATTCCGAGGATACGCCAAGAATTCCGAGGGTATTCCCATACCTTTCCGCCGAGGAAAATTAACCAGCTCGCGATCTTCTTTATGATATCGACTAGCGATTACGGCAAGATCGGTTCTGAAGATCGTTCCTCAAGAACGATCACACCACCGGTTTTGCATTCCATCAATGACTCTCGCTAAAGGAGCGAGGAAGCGGAGCCGGGATCCAGGGATCTCCCTGGACCGTACTACGTGCACGTGCGTGGCTGTGTATGTATATGAGGAGAACGGGCATACGTGTGTGGATCCTCGTAAGGATTCATAAACAACGAAACGATCCGTTGGGGATACTGGGCGCGCGGGGTGAATTTATGAAGCAATCGCCGGAGCAATACCTCGTCGCGGAGAAACACGTATCCGTGATCTCTGCGTCGGGTTTGTATCTTGATTGTCTTCCATCGGGTATCGATTACCGACGTATACGACGACTCGATTCAGCGCGCGTGCCAAGATTAATTGTTATATCGATTTGCCATGAATTTTAATGCGTGCGGAACTCCGCGAAGTTCTAGTACTACTTGATTAGCATTCGCTTTGTCAGAGGTAAGAGCACATTACAACGCTTCACCGCGACGTGTTGTGAATATTGTCGACGACTTCAAGTGGATGTACCTTTCTGCCATCGACCGTGTCCACCCCCTCCTCCCTCTCGCTCACTCTTTCTCTCTTTCTCTCGCCTATTTCGCGTATAATTTCGTCGCTTTGTTTCATCGCGCATCCTCACGCTAGCTATATTCGTAAGCCGATCGCAGCGCTATCAGATTGTGCTCCACATTCGTTAAGGGGGTTGCACTTGATCCAGCACTCGACTGGATGGTTAAAAAAAAAAAAAAAAAAAAAAAA